AAAAAAAAAACATAGTTAATCATTTGAAAAGCTTATCCAAAAATGTTAAAGTGGCACTGTCATGCCGAACTTACCTTTCCTCAATCTCTTCCTCTTCTCCCCCTCTCTCTGGATCTGTTATTCTTTTCTTCCTGTCTTCTTTAGTTTTCTTTAAAATCATAAGACAAAGTAGTGACTCTTTGCCTTATGGAGGATTCCTCCGCTTGACCAGCTCTGACCAGCGGAGGAGCAAAGTGTGCTTCATTTCCGCTGGTCAGAGCAATTTTCCCATGATCCTTACCTTTCCTCTGTGTTCCCGCGATGCTTCCTGTCACTTTACACGAAACTGCCGAATTGCGTTCTAACTGAATGAGAACAGTATGTTCGTTTCTTTTAGAACGCAATTCGGCACTTTATTCGGATCGCAATTTCATTCGAATGAATGAAACTCCGATCCTATTCATTGCCGCAGCTGCATCTTGCAGCCGCTTAGTAGATAACTCCCTAATTCCCACGGTATCAGGGAGCTATCTACTAAAAGGCTGAAAGACCTAAATTGGTCTTTCAGCCAATTTTACTAATACTAAGTAAAGGTTTCTTAGTATTAGTAAATAATATGCCCCTACTCGGTATACCGCGAGTAGGGGCATGTCTGGTAAACAGTGAGCAGTCTGTGGCTGCTCACTGTAAAAAAAAAAAAAACTATTGGCCCCCACCCCTAAACGACGGGTGGGGGCCCTAAAGTAAAATAAGGGGGGGGACCTAATGTCCCCCCCCCCGGCCCCCACCCCTGCGCGGTGGGGGTCATAATGATAATGGGGGGGACCTACTGCCCCCCCGCCCCCCACCCCTGAGCGGCGGGTGGGGACAAATGATAATGAGGATGGGGGACCTACTGTCCACCCCCCCTCCGGCTCCCACCTCTGGGCGGCGGGTGGGGGCCATAATGATAATGAGGGGGGGGACCTAGTGTCTACCCCCCCTCCGGCCCCCACCCCTGGGCGGCGGGTGAGAGCCATAAAGATAATGAGGGGGGGGGGGACCTACTGTCCTCCCTGGCCCACACCCCTGGGCGGCGGGTGGGGGCCCTAAGTCAATTCCCCCCACCCCCTCCCACAAGGTGACTAGGGGTCCCCAAGCCCCTAGTCACCCCACCCCCCCCCCTCATTATCATTATGGCCCCCAACCGCCGCGCAGGGGTGGGGGCCGGGGGGGGACAATAGGTCTCCCCCCTTATTTTACTTGAGGGATGGGGGCCAATAGTTTGTTTTTTTTTTTTTTTACAGTGAGCAGCCACAGGCTGCTCACTGTTTAGTGGACATGCCCCTGCTCGCGGTATAGCGAGTAGGGGCATGTGGTAGATTTTAATCTCCCTTGTGCTATTATGTGGGTCATATTGACCCCCATAGAGTGAGGGGGTACTGGGGGCTTATTAAGTGGTGGGGAGCACTGCTCCCTGCCGCTTCTATCTTTACATATTACAAGGAGGGAGCTGCGTGCCGGTAGCTCCCTCCTTGTAATAAACTGAGCGAACAAACGAACACTGATACACAGATACTCAGTGTTTGTTTGTTCGTCTGACATTTCTATTCATTCATTCGTCTGTCTGATGGATGAATGAATAGATGAAATTCCCGTTCGCATGTCCAGGTGTTTCACTGAGCATGTGCGGGAATCTCACAGTCTGTGTAGTGTGGGCAGATGATGTGTTCCACAGGGACTTCATCTACCCACACAAAGATGGCGGCGCCCTGAATATAGATCGGGGCAGAAAATAAGGAATAAAAAATAGGTAATGTGGGGGACTTAGGGGCATTTGGCAGTGACTAGGGTGTCAGTTAGATGTAGTGGAGGCAGGAGGGGGGTTAAAAAAAAAAAAACAGGATTTGGCATGACAGTGCCGCTTTAAATGAGGCCCATGCTATTTATAAATCACGGAGTAATGAAACTTAACCAAACTAGATACATTTCATTGTGTTCAAAGAACAGCTTAAATGTAAATACATCAAAGTTAAAGGGGAGAGTGAACAAAAAGAATGACAACCTGTATATTTAGGGAACATAAATACCCTGCATGGACTCAGACCCAAACAGACCACAATCTATACATATTTCAAATACCTACATTAAAGGGACACTATAGTCACCAAAACATCTAGGATTAATGAAGCAGTTTTGGTGTATAAATCATGCCCTCGTCGCTCAATTCACTGCCATTTAGGAGTTAAATCACTTTTTTTTTTTTATTCTTTATTTTTGTTTCAACACCAAGTGCAGCTTAATTACATGTAGTGGCCCGCGCAGGGGCCTTTCATCAACATATAATACAATTCTTTGTACATAGAATAGGTGAAGGTGTATCGGGTATACTGGTTTTAAGGTGCCGCTCGGTGTTGTTTTTCAATTTTTAGGGCCTTTCAGGTCCCTATGTCAAACATGAACAAAAATGTTTCCATACAATGTGCTATACGTTTATGTAGCATATGAAACCATTAACATAGTGCGGTCCTAGTTTCCGCCCGGCAGGTTCATCGTCATTGTGGTCGTCAGTGTGACACTCATAGTGGTTCTTACTGTTGTGTTCCTTATGTGTTCGCTAATGCGTCTGATTTGTTTCGTGCTGTATTGGCAGTGCACTTCTTGCATGTCCGTCCCCTAAGGTTATGTCCGTCTAGGTCCGAGATGGGTGCTCCCCCAACGTGAACAGTTTCCATGAGGCTGTTGGAGGCCCTTATGTGGCGTTCTTCCCCCCTTTGGGGCAATTCCCTAAGGGACTGCTAGCCCGGTCGCATATGTGTGGTGGTCATTATGCCGCAGTGAGCGTTCATTGCGTTTGTTTTCTACGAGTGTTTTGTCCTGTTTTTGCTGCCTAACTAGGTCATTCTGTGTGTGTCACCTGTGGTTCAAGGCATTCGCGTTAGCCGGTGTTTGTCTGATATGGTGTCCCGTATGGCTGGTGGTTTAAGAGATGGGGAGAGGGGGTCCTGGACGGGGCTGTGGGGTGAAGTAGGGGAGGGGGAGGGGAAGGGGTGTGTTGTTCGTCGGGGCGCCTGGCGGGCGTAGGTCCACGGATCTGTTACATACCTTTTTCAAGCTATATGGTGTCGTTAATTAGCGTACATTTCCCAGGGTTGCCAGAGTTTTAGGAATGATTTTTCCGTGTGTCTAATTTGGGCTGTGAGTTTGTCCATCAGATATGTGTCTTTGATTTTAACTATCACATCGTTGTCGGTGGGAACTGTGGGTTCCAGCCACCTCTGTGCAAGAGCTCTTCTCGCAGCCAGTGTGAGTTTGTTTAAAAGTTGGTGTTCCTTCCTGGGGAGGCCGTCTGTTGGTCGGGACAGTAGTATCGCCCACGGGTCTAAGTCTATGTGTCGTGTGAGACCTGTCAGTCTCTTCATTGATCTGTCAGAGCACTCTGATTGGATGGCTTAAACCCACCAATCAGAGTGCTCTGAGCCTAATTGCTGGGCAGGGCAAGGCTTTATAAGCCTTCTCCTGCCCTGCAGAGCTCAGTCTGCGCAGAGCCATCCATGGGTGAAGATGGATTATTATTTTTTTGCGCTCAATTTTTTTTGTTTAGTTTTTTAAGTGCGTCGGTTATTATGGATTTTTATTTGGCCTTTTTTGGGGCTGAAAAAAGAAGATTTTAGAAGAAAGAAAACATCAAATGGTAAGTTTTATTTATTTTTCAGGTACTTAGTTAAATGGTGCCCCCTCATTATTTTTAGGGTGAGGGAGGTAGGTAGGGGTTAATTTCTTTTTGGGGGGGGGTGACTAGGGGTTTGGGGTAGGGCCCCCACCCACCGCTCAGGGGTGGGGGCCAGGGGGGAGGACATTAGGCCCCCCCAATTAGTATTTAGGGGCCCCACCCACCGCTCAGGGGTGGGGGCTGGGAGGGACATTAGGTCCCCCCCTAATTAGTATTTTAGGGCCCCCACCCACCGCTCATGGGTGGGGGCCAGGGGGGAGGACATTAGGTCCCCCCTAATTAGTATTTTAGGGCCCCCACCCACCGCTCAGGGGTGGGGGCCAGGGAGGAGGACGTTAGGTCTTCCCCCTCATTCTAATTTAGGGCCACCACCCACCGCTCAGGGGTGGGGGTCAGGGGGGAGGACATTAGGTCCTCCCCTAATTAGTATTTTAGGGCCCCCACCCACTGCTTAGGGGTGGGGGCCAGGGGTGAGGACATTAGGTCCTCCCTCCTCATTCTAATTTAGGGCCCCCACCCACCGCTCAGGGGTGGGGATAATGGGGAGGACATTAGGTCACCCCACAAGTAGTATTTAGGGCCTCCACCCACCGCTCAGGGGTGGGGGCCAGGGGGGAGGACATTAAGTTCCCCCCCCCAATTAGTATTTAGGGCCCCCACCCACCGCTCAGGGGGGAGGACAATAGGTCCCCCCTAGTTTTCTTTAGGGCCCCCACCTGCCGTTCAGGGGTGGGGGCCGGGGGGGCAATAGGTCCCCCCTTCAGGTTAGGAGGAGGAACGTTTTTTGTTTTGTTTTTTACAGTGAGCAACCACAGGCTAGCTTTGGCCAGTGTTTGTTACTAAGTGGCTACTAAAAAAGACTGGTCATACCCCATTTGCAATACCTTGGGTTGTCTACTATTGCAAATGGTATGCCATCATGGGGGTAATTCTCATTCCTGGATAATTCTCATTCAATGTGAAAATACTGAAAAATTTTACATGCTGTATTTGACACTGTATTTTCCCAAAACACCATAAAACCTGTACATAGGGGGTACTGTTTTACACATGAGACATCGCTGAATACAAAATATGTGTATTTTATTGCAGTAAAAAGAAACAGTATTATGACATTCACAGTTAAAATCTCATGCAGAACTAAAAAAATAAAATTTCTTAATTTATCAAATTTTTTTGTATTTTATTCATAGTGAATTATGTTTAATAGCTAACTGATGTTCAATGAAAGCCCTATTTCTCCTGAATAAAATGATATATAATAAGTGTGGGTGCACTTAATATGAAAGAGGTGAATTACAGTTGAACAGACATGTAGTCAAATTCCAAGTTTTGTTTACGTTTTATTTTGATCAAAACGTATACATTTGGTTCAGTCCTTAAGGGGTTAATCAGATATGATACCTGCATGCTTCATACAAACACAAGAGCATCAATGTTTTCATAATCTGCAAAGTGCTTGTATTCTGAGCACAAATAGTTATTTGCCGCTATTTTTGTTAACAGGACAGCATAGCTGATACAATGCCTCACATCTGCCAGGAAGTTATGAAACAAGTGAGGCTTCTGCTTGAAGAGAAGGTAAGTGGCTCTCTACAAAACAGTATCTACACTAGATGTATTATTATGCTGAAACGATA